ACGGTTGGTTTCATTTATGGTTAATGAGGGCATGTTTAGGGGTGCCAAAATAATATTTTTCGTATAGTTTTGGGGTGTAGACATAGGCGCTGATTGTACGAAAGGGAGTGGCATACCCATCTTATCCTGTAAATACTTGTGTATAAGTCCTGATGAATGTTTCAATAAATTGTGATTACCAAAGAGCAAAAAACTGTTGATGTTTGAAATTACATAACTATTTCTGAAAAAAAAATTTTGCCATATTTTCTAGATTAGTTTATTGATCTGTTAGAGATGACATACATTACGTTTTTTTTTTATATTTTCCGCAGATAAATACTCTACAGTGACACCCGAAGATCTACCACCTAGTTCAATTCTCAACCTAGACATTAGAGCTAATGATATTGATGATGGTGAGGATGGAAATGTGATGTATTCACTTGCGTATGAAGGAAATTAAAGGGTAAATTGATCGCAGTAATGGGGAGGTTTTATTTTTGGAGGCGAATGTTTATGTGGAAGCCAGTGGTTTACTATAGTTTACTCATATTCTAATGATAGTATTAACCCTTTTATAAGTGACCAATATATTCAATCATTATTCGCAGGACTCCTTCCAGGTAACATCATTATACAATTTCACTATTTACTGCTCGTTTCGTGGTAATGGAACATCAACATGAATTCGAAGAATGTAGTCGGTCTAGAAATTTCCATTTAACCTCTTAGAAGTCAACTCAAATAAAACGGATCTCTACCACTCGTCTAAGTGAGTAGTCAGTCAGTGTTCAGGGCAACGTGTTTCCACTATATAATTCAGCCACTTGATGATGCTGCTAATAGTTTAATGCAGGTAGGTCAAACTGACATTTCAGCTAGAGGCAGGAACTGTACATGAATTTTGGAGATTTTTAATGTGACTAACAATCAAAATATAATAAACTGATATGCGTCCAAAACAGGGGGCAACAAATCGAGAGCACATAAAGAACTTAGAATAATTTGAATCGATTCACAATTGATTTCAAATTGTGTCCGGACAGGAAACAGCATGGGAAAATTTTAGTCATGTGACACAATGCGTATAATCAGTATCGATCAATGATCAGGCCGGGGTTGACATAGAATTCTTTCTTTAGAATTCGAGCAAATATTGTAAACTCGTAAAACTGGGAAAAATATTTTCTGATGCTAGGCCAAAACGCAACAATGTTTTTCTATAGCAATCTGTGCCGGCTTTTATTAGACAAAACATAGTGTTAGTGACACTTTAACCTGGCTTTTGAGAGCGTCAGTATATTTTAAAGATATTTATAAAAATATAATTTTAAATATTGGACGGTCACACGCGAAATAACATTAGACAGCATATCACTGATTAACCCAGATATGCTATTTACAAAAAAAGATTGCTTAGCTCTTTCATTATGATGGGAGTTACGTTACATTCATGATAGCCAGTCACTGGAAGAATAGACCTAGGTTTCTTTCAATGAATACAACTGTAAGGTAAGTATGGCTTCACTGTGAAAAGGTAAACATGAAATTGCTGACATATATTACACATCAAATGGCACTGTTGTAAATAAACTATGGGTTAAATGAATAACAAATTTATCTATGAACATTAAATAAACCGCTGTAAGTATAAATTACCGAGAATCTTTATTTTCAGGTTTCTTTTCCATTTCCTTGAACTGGATAATGTTACTGCAAAATTTCCAAGCGATATATATAATATATGCAAAGGAAAATACGATATATGATGTGTTTATAATAAATGTATTCGTTGAGCATTAATTATAAATTTAGTGTTGTTTAAAAAAGTTGGCATCCAGCATTTTTTACCCTTTATTACAATTAGTGCAATGTAATATATTGGTTAACATTTCCAATATTGACGAGCAATTTATTTAGTGAGTTATATTGTTTTGTTACTTACTGCAAATCAAACGAATATCGAGTAACCGAATATCAAAAATATTTTTAATATGAAACTATGACTTCACGTCACTGTTTGGTTCTCTCTAAAAACTCTGCAAATTATCAATACTTCAATGTATGCATTAGTGCTGTATTAAGGTAGCAGGATAGTTTTTTTGCATGAAAAATGTAAACACCTATAATCGGAATAAATTTTACAAGAAACCGTACAATCTATATATGTTTAGAAAGCTCTTGTCTTGTATTTTCCTACTATTAATATTTTGTGAACATTGTGTTTGTTTTAGCGTCACGTGATTCTGAAAATCAGCGGGGCTGATAATTTAACTAACGTGAATAAAATTTTAATTGTCATCTCTACAGTCATT